CCCCTCATCAGACGCTGTGATGGTAACATTGTACTGAGAAACTCTCTCTCTGTCAAGCGGCCCATCAACGACTAATGTGTAATAGTCCTTATAAGGCGACTGCAGTTTGAAAACAGCAGTGCCAGTTATTTCACAGTGTACTTCGCCGTTCTTACCCCCATCGTTGTCTTTGACAGTTATTAAGCCAACCATTGTCCCGAGTGCAGCGTCTTCTTTTAGAGTATCGATTAATGATGTTACGGTGATTTCCGGATAGTTATCATTCACGTCAATAATTTCAATGAGGACCTTACAGTGGGCTGCTCTTGGGTTTTGTCCTTTATCTTTTGCTTGAACGCGAATTTCAATTGCATTGTTTGCTTCGTAATCCAGAATCCCATTAACCGTAATCTCACCGTTTCCTGGATCAATAGCAAACATATCGATGTTATTATCATTGTCATGGTTTATAAAGGAGTAAATTATTTCACCATTTTGGCCCTCGTCCAGATCCGTAGCAGCAACAGTGATAACGGAAGATCCGAATGGTGCATCCTCTGGAATACGGGCCTTGTACAGTGTTTTATTAAAAATAGGGACGTTATCATTGACGTCAAGCACATTAATAATTATCTGCAATGTTCCGGACTTCGCAGGTTTTCCTCCGTCAAAAGCTGTTAATACTAGATGGATCACAGGCTGTTTCTCTCTGTCTAAAGCTTTCTGTAGAACCAGTTCCGCTGATACACTTTGCTCTCCTCCACTCTGAACCTCCAGACTGAAGTGCTCATTCGGACTCAGTCTGTAGCTTTTTACGGCATTATTTCCCACATCTGCGTCACTAGCTTTCGGCAAAGTAAATCGCTCTCCTGGCAAAGCCAGCTCTGAAATATTCAGATGACTATTTGCTACACGAAAAGAGGGGGCATTGTCATTGATATCTAAAATATTCACGTCAAAACGGTACAGTTTTGGAGGCGATTTAGCCATCGCTTCTAGATGCAACGAACATTTCACATTCCGACCACAATGCGCTTCCCTGTCTATTCTCTCTTTCACGTACAGCATCCCTGTTTTTATATCCACACCAAAATACCTTTCATTGGTGCCGGCTGCAATATGAAACCTTCGCGATTCCAGTTCATGCCCATGGATATTCAGATCTTTAGCCAAATTTCCGACAGTAGTACCTGGATCCGATTCCTCATTCACAGAATAAACAATTTGTCCGCAGGAGAATTCCATGAAGAACATCATCAAAAGAACGTACATACAGCGACAGCTTTTTTGACTTGACATCGTGATCCAATTGCAGAAAACATGCACATTCCAAAACCAAGTGTCTGGTTTAGAAATACTGAACATTACATTCTAAATATAAAGCACTAATTACGAAAAGCAGGCCCATGGTTCTAACTTATCCTCGTCTTCAGAGAGAGCTTTGTTAAAAGGAAACATTCCTTTCTAAAACGAGGAGGAGCCAGAAAGCCTAATAATCCCTTTTTGTTAGTCTATGGCGACACCACGTGGAGATGAAATTTGGTGTAGTACAGAAGCCAAAAATTATATCAAATATAACATATGATTTGCTTTCTTATTAGCCATTATCACATCTCCGGTCGAATTCAAGATCATTTCAGCGAATGCGATTAGCCAATAGTTTACATTCAGCTCTAAAATGTCAGTCCACCTACATACTGAAATTTGCATATTTTAGACGAAATACCTTGCAAATATTATGTCATATATAAGTAACCGTAACGAAACGGTATAGATTAGTGGGAGACGTTTGTAAATGCATATTTAGGCCTACTAATTACATTAGTCGATTTCGTCGTGTGCATAAATAAAACATTGATAAATAAATGCCCGCTATTTTTATTAAGATAATCAATTTTCCCTCCGCTTTTACTGAATTTGAAACATACACGAAAATTAACATCAAATGTATTATTAAATCAGTAAACGCTATAAGCACATTTTTCAGTCTCGAAAATAGCACTGATGAACAAAGAGTATGTCACAAAATTGCTAAGTGTTTTTAATGTACTTTTCAATGCTAACTGAGTCACACACAGTTTTTGAGTAACGTCATTTTTAGGCCATGTTGATTATTTAGAAGTTCTTATTAAGAATGCATGGCTTGGTCTCTATTAATGTTTAATTAATTAATTAATTAATTATTTTAATCCAGCACAAGAAATATTGTAGGATTCACCTATTATGTTTCGTTTGACAAAAAAGTAAAAAAAACAAATGTTGACTAACGTAACAAAAGTTTCGCAAAACGTAATTTTAATTATCATTAAAAGCAACACATGCAGCAGCAGCAATAATAATAATAATAATAATAATAATAATAATACAAAATACCCTTAAACTGCATCGAAAATCTGCATGCACTGTATTCGCAGTTAAATAGGCTATCATGTTACAAAATACTCAAATTCAAGTAAACTGACCAAATTGATGCTAATAACTTTAGGCAAATTTCAACATTTATTCTTACCTTCTCAGTCATGGGTAGCGTTTGGTTCCGTTTAAAAGTATCTGCTCCATTAACACTGATCCCATCGGCCTCTGCGAACGCACACGGCGAAGGGAAAACAACCACATCACTCTTCAGGGTGTCTGAACTAAAACACACGTCATACTGCTGCGTAGATTTAGAGTAAGACCAGCTTCCGTCAGGGTGTGCGGTGATCATTGAGGCATCGTATCTGTTCAATGTGCCGTCTGTCCTGTGACATTTAATAGCTATTAAAATAAGGAGGCTCACTAAAAATATTACCGACACAGACACAATAGCAATAACCAAGTATAGATTTAAAACAGAAAAGCTGTTGTCCTTCTTTGGCCGTTCTTTAAACTGAGTCCGGACTTCCCCAGTACTTTCAACAACCGCAACATCCATAGACACCGTCGATGACAGAGAAGGATCTCCGCTGTCAGAAACTAAAATGACCAGTGGGTGGATTCTCAAGTCATTGTCACTCATTCGCCTTCTGGTCCTAATCTCCCCAGTACTGCTTCCAATTCTGAAAAGATTGTTTTCCTTGGATTCTGCGATGTGATAAGAAAGTAGAGCATTATAACCCGAGTCAGCGTCCACAGCCCTGATTTTGGCCACAAAGTATCCCGCTTCCACGAAGTAGGAAATTCTTTCAGTATTTACAGAGCCTGGATCAGAGTAGGGCGGGAGAATCTGAGGACTGTTGTCATTCATGTCAAATATGAAAAGGTTCACAGTCACATTACTGCTTAGTGGAGGGACACCAGAGTCTGTTGCCTGAACACGAAAATGGAAGGTTTTTACATCCTCATAGTCAAAGATCTGCACGCTGTATATATCCCCAGTTGCAGAGTTGATGCTGACTATGGGATTAGTCAGAACTTCTTTGTTGTTGCTGTTCATCAATGAATACGTAACTTGAGCGTTTTCTTGGGCATCAGCGTCGAACGCAAACACAGTTAAAATATGAGACCCAACTGGGTTGCTCTCTTTAAAAAATACATTGAGCTGCGAATCTGAAAATCTCGGCGCGTTGTCGTTTACATCAGAAACGTCCACTGTAATAATTTTAGCGACAGAGAGAGGCGGAGTTCCTTCATCAGTCGCTTTAATGGTGACGTTATACTGAGACACTGTTTCTCTATCCAGCGGCCCGTCAACTACCAAAGAATAATAATTCTTGTAGGAGGACTGTAACTTAAACGAAGTAGACCCTTCGATGTGACAATTCACATCTCCATTTTTACCTCCGTCTCTGTCTGATACCACAATTGAAGCAATTGCAGTTCCAATTTTGGCGTCCTCTCTAACCGTGTTTGTTGAGGTCACCGATATGTCGGGAGCGTTATCATTCACATCAATAACTTCAACTAGAACTTTACAGTGAGTGCTCCGAGGAAAATGACCCTTATCTTTAGCTTGTACCCGTAATTCAAAAGCAATTTGAACCATTAATGAAGATATCACCAGTATCTGGATTTGTTAAGATGTATGAAAATATGTGTCCTCAGTATTCAATAATCTAAACTGTTCGTATTACAAGAGGGCGCGAGAACACACAGAATCAATGTATGTGAATATGCATTGTGCATTTTGATCAAGTTGACTTGCCGTAGTCAATTATTCTGTGCGTGCAATCTTCTTCGGTACTTTCCAGTGCGAGCCTAACTGTTGTGGTGAGCAGTCGCATTTTTTTTTGTTCTTCCAATAAATAACCCGCCAAATGGCTAAAGAAGGAAAGCTTCTCCTTGTATTCCTCTGAATGTACCGTGAGCAGCACGACTCTGCGGAGAATTTCAACAGGATTAATGGCAAATATTTCAGATGTTTTTAAATGAGCATGTTTCAGAAATGAATACACGATTTCACTATTGACCCCTTCATCTAAATCCGTCGCATTAAGAGTAACAATTGTCGTCCCACGAGGAACATTCTCTGACACCCGAACCTTGTAAAGTGTTTGAGAAAACACCGGATTATTGTCATTGCTGTCCAGCACATTAACCGTAATTTGCAATGTCCCGGACCTAGGAGGCTTTCCCCCATCCACAGCAGTCAACAGCAGCTGAATCACAGACTGTTTCTCTCTGTCTAAAGCTTTCTGCAGTACTAACTCCGCAAATAAACTCTGTTCGCCACCGCTTTGTACATCCAAAGAAAAATGTTCGTTAGAACTGAGTTTGTAGGTTTTTACTGCATTACTACCCACATCTCCGTCACCCGCCAATGGAAGTGGAAACCTGTCCCCAAGAAAAGCGTTTTCAATAATATTTAAAGTCTGACCTTCGGCAGGAAAGGCGGGAGCATTATCATTCACATCTAAAATATTTACCTCGATACGATAAAAATTTAATGGATTGTGTGCAACCGCTTCTAATTTGAGAGGACATTTCGGGGTATCAAGACACAGCTCCTCTCTGTCGATGTGATCACTCACAATGAATAGACCGGTTTTAGCATTTACCTCGAAATATTTTTTATGAGGTCCCGACACAATCTGAAACATACGTGATTCCAGTTCCTGAACATTCAGATTCAAATCCTTGGCAATATTCCCAACAACCGTTCCCTGGTTTACCTCTTCTGAGACCGAATATACAACCTGACCGAGGTTTGGATCCAGTAAGCTAAGAAGCACGACAAACTGCGCCCAAGCCGTCGTCCTTTTGTTGAAAACGCCCATCGCTGTTACCGTGTAATAAGGGGCATCAGCATTTCAGCAGGTATATTAGGAATGCAGAAGGTAGTCGCTTGATAATTACTTGCAATTTCGCAATTCATCCAATATACAAACACAGAGCATGTTAGCTGACTGTCAAATTACAACAAAAGCTTCAGTACATGACACGCGCAGCACTGAGGGAGGAGTCTCAGAAAATGCATTCCTAAAACACTCCGTTTTGCGGTCAACAGTGACGCCCAGTGTAACTATTCAAAATGTACATTCTGACATCTTACTGATTTAATACTGTTCAGGTTCAAGATTGTCTTATTTGCCATTTGTACAAGCACAGAGAGTAAAGGTACATAAGATTTTTTGTGCGAAGCTCTTGGAGTCAACAGTAAAGAAAAGAAATAGTTAAAAGCCCAGGTTATATAATCCGAATACGTAGTACTAAGACATTGTAAAATACAATAAAATCCCACTTTCAAAAATCTTGAGATTCAAACATAGGTAATAGTGAAACATTGTAAAGTGCAGTTATTAAGGTGCACTCTGTAAAACACTGTAAAAACACTGTCAATAAAAAAAGGTAAGAAATAAAAAACAGAAGTTCATTTAAGAGTATTGCACATCCTATATGCTACAGTAAAACAATGCTGATCACACTATAAATCAACACTGTGGACCAACACTGCTTTCATTTAACAAATATTGCACATCTGAGGTTAAGTACGCACATTTTTCTCTTCTGTTGTGTGTTTAGTCACTGGTCGAGAGAAAATCAAGCAGAAAATAAAACAACCGGATAATTTAAATGTCATTCTAAAAATAAGGGCCACACCTTTAAAAGGCTGAAACTTCAAGTACATGTAATATTTTTAATTCTGAAAGTACATTAGATCATATTGGAAATCTGCATTAAAACACACTTTGAAAGTGCACATCGGAAAGAAGCAGACTTTTCCATTTGTGACACTGCAATACGCATGGAGGCCGCCATGCATCAACTGGGGGCGATCAGTCCCACAGCAGCCTATGGTACAGTTACACTACAACACGCATGGAGGCCGCCATGCATCAACTGGGGGCGATCAGTCCCACAGCAGCCTATGGTACAGTTACACTGCAACAGGCATGGAGGCCGCCATGCATCAACTGGGGGCGATCAGTCCCACAGCAGCCTATGGTACAGTTACACTACAATATGCATG